CACCTAGTTTTAGTGTTCTTTGTATTAAGCTAGGTTTTATCATCTAGAGTTCTACATCTTCTGTGGTCTTAGAAGAAAATAATCTAAGCTCTTTCTATCCTTTTAGTCACTTAGCAACAGTTTTTGACTACCTGCTAAGTCATGAGCATGTTTAATTTTTTTTCTTCTTTTTTGTTTCCACTTATTACTGGTTCTAATCATTATTTTTTTTAATAGCCACCTCACCATCATTTTTTTCCTACTTCATAGTTTTCTTTTTAAATTGTAAATCTAATTGTGCCATTCTTCTATTAAAACAATTTTGGTAAATTAATCCCCATCCTATATAGAATGTTCAGTTACTTGTATGTTGTATTAGTCCATTCTCATGCTTCTCATAAAGACATACCCAAGACTGGGAAATTGAGGTCAATTTGACTCAATTTTGAGGTTAAATTGACTTTGAGGTCAATAAACTGTGAAGTTTAATTGAGTCACAGTTCAGCATGGCTGGGGAGGCCTCAGAACACTTACAATTATGGCTGTAGGCAAAGCAAACACAGCCTTCTTCACATGACAGCAGCAAGGAGATGTGCAGAGTAAAGAGGGGGGAAGCCCCTTATGAAACCATCAGATCTCGTGAGAACTCAATATCACGAGAACAGCATGGAGGTAACTGCCCCCACCTTCACCCTCCCACTACCAGGTCCTTCCCACGACATGTGGGGATTATGGGAACTACAAGATGAGATTTGAGTGGGGACACACCCAAGCCATGTTATATATGTTTATGATTTTATATTATAAATGCTTTGATTTACTGATTTTCCTGTCTGCCGTTGCAGTCTATCACAGTGCCATGCATGTAATCAATATGTAACAAGTACTTGCTGGGTTGAATTTCTTATTTATTTTTTCCCCCAACCCCCTGCCTTCCACCATGGAGTTCGATCTTGTCTTTGAAATTATATGCTCTAAATTGTCATTTTAAAATTTAATTTACAAGTGGCTCTCATTATAAATCCTGTAGCTCTTCTGTCCACATAGTCATTCAACTTTACGTACCTAGTGTGTGACCATGTGCATACTCTTTCTTAGTGTCATCAAAAATCAGTGTTACATCAATGGTAAGCAAATTGTATGTGGGGATAAAAACAACAACAAACAAAACCCAACCCCAAGACCAGTATTCTGTATAGAACAGAAAACTAATCACTCTTGATTATGTGGTTTTGTGGTACATTTTTTGACAGTTTTGCTGGCTTGGCTTTCTTTCACTTCACAGATTTCACTGATTTAATTTAGGATATAAATATATGATACTTGCAGGGCTTAATAGAGTTCTTAGCAAGTTTAATTTTTCTTAATTTAACAGATTTTTTAACTTAAATACCACAGAAAATATTTTTATTATACAAAATAACAAAAGCATTGAAGTCTAAAATGGAGTTTTACAAAGCATCTATGCTTCTAAAAGGAAAGAAATATTGATGGCTATGAGATGAATTAGGAGAGTGTTAAGGTTATTCAGGCAAGTGACATTGAGGGCTCAAATCATAGTTGTAGGGAAAGAAATGACTAGTCAGCTACATAAACTATACAGCAGAATTCACAGGAATTGGCACTAAATAAGATGTCAGGAATTAGATATATGTTTAGAGAGAAGTCAGGTACAGTTAGCTATTTCTAGGTAATTGCTTAATGCCATTCTAAATATTGCTCAAGACTTCCCAGCTCTGTTACTTTGTTCATAGTATCTCATTCTTTCCCCATGTTTGCTTCTCCAGTCTTAAATCTTAACTGTCTTTCAAGGTCTGGCTTACACCTTGTGTTTTCAGAAGATGCCTTCAGATGCCTTCTGAGTGGGGGAAATGCTGAATTCTTATAATGCTTAGAGTCTATAGCATATTTAATAATAATTATTACTACCTGCTATTGTCTTTCTTGTGCATCTTCTGACTAGATTGTGCCTTATGCCTAATGAGTGGATGTTTTGAGTTGAGTTTTTTTGGTTTTTGTCTTAGATAAAACATAATCCAATATAAGTTAGGTAAACTGCTTTCTCTATAGGTTACTCCAGGTTAAAATTTAAAAAGGCCTGTGTTTACCTACTGTTTCTTACAAAAGAGCTGTTTCTGTAGTCTTTAAATTTAGATTTGCAGATAATGTTTTGGAGGAAAAGTGATTACAGCACAAAGGCTTATATTAGTATTATAGGATGGCTCAATACTTAGGCTTCTGCAATCTCAGTTCTCATCACTGTGTGATTTTGTATAGTTCACTGGTGAGCCCTTGGATTGTGAAACACAAAGAACTGGTTCTTTTGTTCTTCGAGGTATTGACATATGGTGAAATTGTTTGCATAATATTCCAGGATTCACTGAAGAAGTTTGCACCACAGCTGTAGGAGTGGTTACAGTTTATAAATCAGGGTCCTGGAGAGCAGTGCTTGTGTGAGGTTTTCTTTAATCTCTCAAATTAGACAATTCAAAGACACTACTACACAAAATGCTTTAGAAAGTGTTTATATGTGACTTGCATCTCAGTTCTTTCTTAAGTGGTCTATTACTTACTTTTTGAATGAAGAACTTATTTCCTTCCATGACTGTATTCCCATGACTCTTAAAGTATTCAAGACTCATTTAAAGTATGTATTATTGCATATATAATTTTTTAACAATTTTACCTTGAAGTTTTTTAATGGAATAATACTAATATTTCATAATTTGATCAGAGATGTGAAAAATCCTTTTTTGAATGTGAACAGTTGAACTTGTCAGAATGAAATCATACATGTAGTTTCAAATATTTAATAATATTTTTGAGCTTACTCCAATAAGAAAAGCAGTTGGATTATAGCAGGGCACAGCATTTTAGAACATCATCATTATTAAAACATTATCATTATTATATCATCAAATTCCTAACACTGAGACTTTTCCATGTGCAAGGCACTACTAGGCACTCTGCATACTTTGTGTCATTCAACCCTAAAAAACCACGTTTTTATGTTTACAGTTATTATACCCATTTTGTAGAAGGGTTCCTCCCAAGGCTTGGAAACATTACTTGACTTGTCCATGATTAGTCATAGTAAGAACCAGTGTCATGACTGCAGAGCCTTTCCCTGCTGTATGAGACATGAGCAAGACTGCACAATCCATGAGAGCCGGAGCTGTGTTTTGCCTGTCATTTTAAACCTGTGACTAGCATAATACCTGGTACATAGTAGATGATCTGTAATAAGTATATGTTGGCTAAGTTTGCCTCTCATCACCTAATAATAATAACGAAACCCCTCAGCAGGGCCTGGACCATTCCTGGTAGCTTGGCACAGAGTGAACATATTCCTGGCATTCCACATTGGAACCAGGAATACATTTGTTACAGAGAAACCTTGTCACATATGGCAGGAAGTTTCATGACTGAATACTTGGAGTTACATGGGTCTTTGTACACTGACCTGTGAATTTGATTGCTACTGAATAGCATAACTTCTATGAGAGAATACGTTTTTAGGCAGCTTTCAAATGGACTTTGGAGTAAAGCTTGTTGGTAGGTAAGATGTAGACTGTGGCCTATGAGGAACATGGTGAACCTTCCCTTTAGAACTGAAAGTCACCATTATGAGTATTGATTATAGTTTATAGGACCTCATTTTGTAAAAACTCAGAAACATCGAGCTGCTCTAGGGAATTAAGGATGAAGCACCTGAATGCCCCACTTTCTCTGTTTCCTTCCTGCCTGTCTTCCCCTCATCTCTTGCCGAGCCTCTGAAACTGATTTGACAAGCCTTAGGCTACTGGAAGCAGAGGATGACTAATCCTTGCTCCAGACCAGTTTCTGCATTTTTAAATGAAGAACCCAAGGCTGAGAAAAGTGACTTCCTGAAGTCACACGGCTATTTCAGGCACACAGTTAATTTGTGGCAGAGGACTAGATGGGACTTTCAGAGTCTAGTGCTTACCAGTTCTATTATAAATTATTTCAAGTACTATTTAAATTGAATAATGAAATCTTTATACAACTTTAGTATTCTGTTTTATATTAAGTCTTTGAAAATAAATATCCTTTGCTTAGTGCTGAGATAAGAACTAATATTAACCTATTGTTTCACAGTTTGAATAACTTTTTACATGTAATATGATCCTCACAACCTAAGGAGTAGGAAGAACAGAATTTTATCACTATTCCTATTTTAGAGATAAAGTCTTAGGGTAATATCACACACCCAACAAGTTACAGAGCCACAATTCAAAAGTAGATTTTCTCAGCGTAAGATTTGAAATTGGACTTACTTAAGTGAACTAGTTCAGCCAGTCTGGATCAGAGAAGCAAGCTTCTTGGTTATAGTGATGGTGAAGTGGGGTAGGCCACATGAGGGTTAAAGAGGAGGTTTGGAAAAAGGCCCTCACCCCTGAACTCTGTAGTGAGGGAACAAATAGAATCTTGCCAAATTAAGGGACTGTAGGTTTGGAACAATGGCAGGAGTGAGTATATACTTGGTTTTATTGAGATAATGTGATGAAAAGGAGCATTCCCTCAGACTAGATTTAAGTATTTGTTTTTATATTAGTTAGCTATGTGACTAGCTAAGTCAGTTGATCTTTCTAAGCCTTGATGTCTCATCTGTAAAATGGGAACAATATTAACTTTGTGAACCCTGCTCTGATTGCTCAGAACTCTCTTTTTTTTTTTTTCTCCTGGGTTCTTTGCACTTCAGTATTTTTAGCAACACTATATAGCTAAATTATGAAATTGTTATACATGTTCCTATACAGAATGCAGAAATACTAGAAACTTATTACTGAAATTTACCTACTACTGGCATCAGAAAGACACCAGCTACCATGAACCAAAGAGAAGTTCCTGTTACCTTTTTTGTAACAGATTTGATCCCCAACCCATTTCAAGTTGGGTTTTCATGTTTTATTTTGGTTGTAAAATGATTAAATTCTCTCCTTATCTATGAAATAGTAGCGAATTGTTCCATCATTAATTAATGTGCTTTTTTTTTCTAGTTATATAAGTTTGGAGAGACAGTTTCTATTGTTTTTTGGACAGACACTTGGAGACCAGAAAGCTTCTTTGACAAAGTGAAGAAGAACAGACAAAATGGCATGCACACATTATGTTTACTAGGTAAGGGTTTGGGAATTTCCTTGAAGTAACAATATGGAACTATCATACTTTTCTTTTTTTTGATTTTGTGTTAAGGTAAAAACTGTTGTATGGATAATTAGCTAGAGGTAAGAAAAGACACAGTCTAGCCATTCTATGCAGACCACACTCTTTCCTACACTCTCAGAGAGACATGCATCTTCTGCTTCAGGTACCACGTGGTTATTTCTGCATACACACCATAGTTATGCTGCTCCCTCTTATGCCCTAGTAGATCCTCTCCAGTATTCCATATCTTACTCATTTGTCCATCAAGGATTTACTGCAATCCAATAGACATGCACTGAGCAAGTCTTACCAAGGACCATCCTGCACCTTCCTAGGGAGATTCTTTGAATACTGCAGTCTTGATGCTATCAGATTCACAATGATAGATCTAAAAGAGACTCTGGAGATCATCTTACTGAAGCCTGTTTTACAGATGAAGTTGAGGCCCAGAATATTGAATTATTTCCCCAATGTCACCTAGTCAATTGGTGGCAGAACTGGGAGAATCAGATAGCCTTTTAGTAATAGCTCATTTCACTGTACCATCTTGCTCAAATCCTATTTCCTGTTTTGTGTGGAAAGAGCTGGCTGGGATCACTGTCTTTGTTTACCCAGATAATAGTACTGAGATTCAGAAAGGCATGGTGTTTTCTTTCTAGCAGAGGCACTGAAATTTTACTGACTCACATTTGCTAATCAGCCCCTATTTTAGTAGCATATGTTGTAGAAAGAAATACTGGTATCAAAGACTTCATCTGTGACTGAACAGAACACAGCTAACTGACATTTTTGATAACTTTGAAATGATACTTCTACTTGGAATCAGAAGACAAAATCCCAGTGCTACTACTTACTAGCTAGAGAATACTGTAAACATTCCTTAGCCTTCATATTTATCAAATAGGAATAATTCCTCCTACTTCATGGAGTTGTATAGAGCAGTACTTCTCAAACTATTTATGGTAAAGAACCATGGTTGGGTTGTTTAAAACATATGTTTGATTTTTAAATTTTCAATCTTTTATGTCAGTGTCAAGTTACTATAAATTTTGTACATATTCTTACTCCTGTAGTTACTTCATCATTTACTGGTAACACAAAGCTCACATACTGGCATTGGTCCTGAGATACTTTGAATTGTACTGTCTTAGTGAAACTGTGTGAAATCACTCACCAAAATGTCTATCACATAGCACAACATCAGGGCAGATAAACCCATGATTTTGGCCTCTGTTTATTAAATACAGATATTCAGAACAGTAGAAAAGATTTCTGTTTGCCACATTTTTTTTTTTTTTAGACAGAGTCTCACTCTGTTGCCCAGGCTGGAGTGCAGTGGCGCAATCTTGGCTCACTGCAACCTCTCCGGCTTCCGGGTTCAAGCGATTCTCCTGCCTTGACTCCCTGGGTAGCTAGGACTACAGGTGCCCGCCACCACACCTGGCTAATTTTTTGTAGTTTTTTAGTAGAGACAGGGTTTCACTGTGTTAGCCAGGGTGGTCTCCATCTCCTGACCTCGTGATCCACCCACCTCAGCCTCCCAAAGTGCTGGGATTACAGGCGTGAGCCACTGCACCTGGCCTTTTTTTTTTTTTTTTTTTTTGAGATGGAGCCTTGCTCTTGTCACCCAGGCTGGATTGCAGTGGCGCGATCTTGGCTCACTGCTGCCTCCGCCTCTTGGGTTCAAGCGATTCTCCTGCCTCAGCCTTCCGAGTAACTGGGATTACAGGTGCCTGCCACCACACCCGGCTAATTTTTGTATTTTTAGTAAAGATGGGGTTTTGCCATATTGGCCAGGCTAGTCTCAAACTCCTGACCTCATGATCTGCCCGCCTCTGCCCCTCAAAGTGCTGGGATTACAGGCGTGAGCCACCGCGCCCGGCCTGTTTGCCAAAAATTTTTAAGCTATTTGCATAATATAACCAATTCTCTATTATTTAACAATATTTAATTTTAAGCAACACAGTAAGTTTTTTGTTTGTTTGTTCGTTTTTTAAGAGACAAGGTCTTGCTCTGTCTCCCAGGCTGGAGTGCAGTGTCACAATCTCATCACACTGCAGTCTCAACCTCCCATTACCCAAGTGATCCTCCCACCTCAGCCTTCTAGGTATGGGACCACAGGCACATGCCACCACACCTAGCTAATTTTTGTATTTTTTGTAAAGATGGGGTTTCGCCATGTTGCCCAGGCTGGTCTCGAATTTCTGGGCTCAAGCGATCCACCCACCTTGGCCCCGCAAAGTGCTGGGCTTAGAGGAGTGAATCACAGTGCCTGGCTGTATGTCTTAATAGAAAATATTATTATACATTCTTACTAATGATTGGCATTTCTTAGGATAGAAATTAATATCTAGAGCAGGGATTAGCAAACAAGGACCCATGGATCACATCTGGCCTGCTGTTTGTTTTGTAAATAAGGATTTATTGGAACGTGGCCATGCACCTTCATTTATATATTATCTACGGCCACTTTCATGCTACAACAGCAGTGATGGGTAGTTGTGACAGAGACCATATGGTCCTCAAAACCTAAAATATGTCTGCCCCTTTTCAGAAATTTGCTGACTCCTGATCTTGAGTGAAATTTTATCTAATCTCATGTGCTGCACCCTGAATCCCTTCAGTGATGTGTTATAACCTTACGCTACTTTTTTCATAGTCTTACCAGCCATATGAATTACCTTATTAACTTGATTTATTCACTGCGTCATAAGAGCAGAGACTTTATCTTGCTCATTATTCTCTTCCTAATGTCTGGAAGTCTACCACAGTGTAGGCATTAAATAAATATTTATGGAAATTAACTGAAGTTTTATTTAGTCTATATTCTCAGACTTGGTCTTATTACCCATTGGCACAGAAAAGCTTTTAACTCTTGCTAGTTCAATCAATTCCAGCCGGAATACACTCCTTTTAATTCCATTTTTTTCTTTTTCCTTTTTTTTTAGATAAGGTTTACCCTGTCATCCAGGCTGGAGTACAGTGGTGCAGTCTCAGCTCACTGCAACCTCTGCCTACCAGGTTCAAGTGATTCTCCTGCCTCAGCCTCCTGAGGCTGGGATTACAGAAGTGTGCCACCATGCTTGGTTAATTTTTTTGTTTTTAGTAGAGATGGCATGTTAACCAGGCTGGTCTCAAACCCCTGGCCTCAAGTAATCTGCCCATCTTGACCTCCCAAAGTGCTGGGATGACAGGCTTGAGCCACTGCACCTGGCCTCCTTTTATTCTTGACATCTAATTAATTATAGATCTAGATTAGGCCATAAACTCTTCTCTAACACATTTTCTTTTATCTTATGCCAATATTCGCAATCAGCTAGTATGACGTTTTCTTATTTTAGTTTATTGCCAGTGTGATTTAATGCTTCATTCCTCATTAATTAGCTTTATAATTTTGTCCTTGAATTTTCCATGTAAAAAGAGACTGGTCTTACTTTTTTATAGTCCTTACTAAAAAGGACACTGTAAGACTTATGAGTTGGTGTGGACCATGCCATCAGATATATCTATCTTGTTATCCCAAAGTTCGATCCAGTTAAGATCAGCTGTGGGTAGAAGGTCAAAGTAGATGACAGGTGAAGGATAATTTTTAAAAGGACTTTTGCTGAAGAAGAAGATGTATCTGAGGGATGAAAAATGGGGATTCATTGGAGCTCAGACACTAGAATGTGTGTTTTACAACAGTACTGAAAGGTTCTAAAACAGAACAGGGAAGGAAGAATCTGAGAGGCAGGCTACCTGATAACCTCCCCTTATAGCCATTAAAAATGACAGGAAAGGCTGGGCACAGTAGCTCACGCATGTAATCCCAGCACTTTGGGAGGCCGAGGCAGGCAAGGTCAGGAGATCGAGACCATCCTGGCTAACACGGTGAGACCCCGTGTCTACTAAAAATATTAAAAATTAGCTGGGCGTGGTGGCGGGCGCCTGTAGTCCCAGCTACTCTGGAGGCTGAGGCAGGAGAATGGCGTGAACCCAGGAGGCGGAGCTTGCAGTGAGCCGAGATTGCGCCACTGCACTCCAGCCTGGGCGACAGAGCGAGACTCCGTCTGAAAAAAAGGAAAAAGAAAAAGTGGCAGGAAGGAGAGCAAGCAGCGCTTATCTTTTCAGAAGCTTTGGAAAGGCAAATAGAAGATCAGTGTACAGGTGTTTATTGAGTGCTTACCCTATGCCCCATGTAGAGTTAGTTTCTTTTGGAATACCAAGAAAGTATAGACGTGGGTCCTGCTCTCAAAGCTTTGAAATCTAGTTTGGAACTAATGTGTTGTGCATGTGAAAGTTTAAAGAACAATTAAGTTCTATTGTATGGAGAGGCAGGAAGGACAAACCAGAAATTTGGCTCTTGAGTTCTCTTTCTAAGAGCTGCCACTTTTCTTAGCTTTCCTGGGAAAAGACAAACAAGGTTAAACAATATATCTTCCTTGCTCGATTAACAAAAGCAGGAACAGGTTGTGAAGTATAGGATGTCATGATTTCAAATCCTCAAACCATAGTTCTTATCGTTTTATCGTCTGACATTCTCATTATTTAAATTAGTATGTATTTATTGAATGCTTGCTGTGGGTTAAGTTCTATAGGGATTAGTGTGGATAAATCATGGTAAGAAAACACAGAGAATTTAAAATTTACTTAGAAAGAGAAGACCAATATATATGATATAATTAGAGGTTAATAAAAGATAGCATTAATTGTATAGATCTTTCCAAGAACAAAAAGCATTTGAGGAGATATCAACAAAGACTTTATGAAGGAGTTAGACTTATGTTGTCCAGAAGGTGGATAGTTTAAGATGGGTTGGTGACTGAGTGGTAGGACAGCCACATGAGTAAATTTATTCAGTAAACATTTATGGAGTCTTCTGGGTACTTCACATTATGCTAGGTCCTGGTACTAAGATGAATCAGAGACGCTTACATTCTAGCAAGCAGAAATAGAGAAGAAAAATTATGGACTGTTTGAAGACAAGGGAAAAGTAACGCGGGGTCTGGATTGAGACGAAGTCACGAATGCATTCCTTGATTAAAAAGGATTTATCTGTAAAAATTCTCCTCAACCCTCTTCACTTTAAAAATCAGATTCTATAGAGCATATTTGAAAAGTAAAGAAAACTGAAAATATGAAAAATCTCATTATCACAACATTTCAGAAGCTCAAAGTGAATGAATTAATAAGTGGGTTAAAATTTTTAAAATCTTACAAACATAATTTAATGGAAATCTGAAAGTTGACTTATACCATTGATTATAGGGAGGCCACATTCTTAATAACAGATATTCACTTTTTTCTCCATAATGTGACAGACAAGTAGAAATATATTTCAAACCTGAAAAAGGCTTTCAATGCTGGCTCCAAGAACATTTAAAAATATGTATTTAATATTAACTCTGCTATAATTTCCAAGCAAACTCTTGGATATTCTTTAAAAGAAACACTTCTATAATCACTTAGCAAATCTGCATAAGGCTATTAAAGACTCCTCAGTTGCACTATGTTTATTTTTGCAAAAACAAACTTTGGCTGAACCATTTGTTTTCAGCATGTAAAGCAGGAAGCAGCTGTTGCTGTTGTATACTGAGTTCCTTTGAGGATGTAGAGTGATTCTGCTTTTTTACCTTTACCAAATAGTTCAGTTAAGCATTAGTGATTAAAAAGTATACCGAATCAAATATTTGTGATGCTTGGACTGTCAAGCTTTTTGAGAGCAGAGGTTATATCTGGTCAGGTCCCTGTGGTCTCCCAGTCTCTGGCACAGTGTCTGACATACAGTTGGTGCTCAAATCCCTGTTAAAAGCATGAATACTTAGAATTAAAGTATTTATTCAAAATTATGGCATGTGTTAACATTCATAAGAAAGCGAAAGACTTTTTTAAATGTGGAAAAGATTTTTTTCCTACTTACATCTATCGAAGGCCTTTCAGTGGGGTCTGTGCAGTTACTAGCTGGCAGAAATGAAAACAAAGATTGTGATTAGCTGTTAGTAGTGTATTTGCCAATGTTTATCTAATTCTTTCCTTTGTCTTCTTTTCCAGGGAAATTAGATGTTAGCAGGATGGTCTCAGGGCCAAGCTCATGTTTGTTTTCTAACTAGTGGCACAACCACAAGCTTCCATTCTTGTCTATGTTACTGTAACAAAGTGGCTAATTAAAGTGTGAGGGAAGAATGTTCCCCCAAAATTTAGGTGACTCTTAACTGAGGTTTACACATAGGGTTTTGGATAAAGTTTTTAATTAAATTAAAAGACCTATTTTTACTTCCTACAGACATCAAAGTAAAGGAGCAGTCTTTGGAAAATCTAATCAAGTAAGTTATTATTCTGAGAATGCATACATCTGTTTTATTTCCTTGAACAATTCAATAAATTCTACTTAAATGACCTGAGTTCTAAAGATGGTTGAAAATGAGCTCTCATTAACAGTGTGAACATTAAACATTTTTATTCTTATGAAATGATAAGGAGTATAATAGAGTAGAAATAGCAATATATCTTGTAGATTAAACACTGAGAACAGTGGTTAGCATCTAACAGACACTCAGTGTTTGTGGAATGAATTAATGCATTGGGATTCTGAAAACATGGGTGTGAGACTGGGCGGTGGTTCACGCCTGTAGTCCCAGCACTTTGGGAGGCTGAGGCAGGTGGATTGTTCAAGGCCAGGAGTTCAAGACCAGCCTGGCCAACATGGTGAAACCCCATCTCTACTAAAAAGGGAAAAATTAGCTGGGTGTGGTGGCACGTGCCTTTAGTCTCAGCTACTTGGGAGGCTGAGGCACGAGAATCGCTTGAATCTGGGAGGCAGAGGTGCAGTGAGCTGAGATCACGCCACTGTGGTCCAGCCTAGGTAACAGAGTGAGAAAAAAAAAAGACATGGGTTTGAGTCCTGACTCTGCCTCTACTTGAGTGCTCTTGGGCAAATTACTTCCATCTCTGAGCCTTATTTTCTTCATATGTATAATGATAGTACCAATCCTTTTTTACTTAGAGAGGCAGTGTCTAATACAGTACCCACTACCCACTTGTGACTAAGGAGCATTTGAAATGTGGTTAATGTGACTGAGGAACTGAATTTTTCATTTAATTTTAATTAATTAAAAAATGATACTCTTGTTGTTGGAAAACTTTTAAGTATGTTTGAAACAGCTTTAGTATATAAATCTACTTCTACAACTATAAATTTGATGAAATTTAAATACAGATCAACTATTTCCAGTGAAAATTTAATATCCAAATTAAGATGTGCTGTAAGTACATACCAGATTTCAAAGACTTAATATAAAAACAATCTCTTTAATAATTTTTATATGAGTAGGTGTTAAATTACAACATTTTGGATTAAATAAAATATATTATTAAAATTTTTGCCTTTTTTGGTTGGGCGTGGTGGCTCATGCCTGTAATCCCAACCCTTTGGGAGGCCGAGGCAGTTGGAACACGAGGTCAGGAGTTCGAGATCAGCCTGGCCAAGATGGTGAAACCCCGTCTCTACTAAAAATACAAAAAAAATTAGCCAGGCATGGTGGCGTGCACCTGTAATCCCACCTACTTGAGAGGCTGAGGCAGAGAGTTGCTTGAACCCGGGAAGCAGAGGTTGCAGTGAACTGAGCTCACACTACTGCACTGCAGCCTGGGCAACACAGTGAGACTGGCTCAAAAAAAAAAAAAAAAAAAAAAAAAAAAATTGCCTTTTTACAAACTTTTTTGTTAATATGGCTACTAGAAAACTTGATTATATATGTGGCTTCATTTATATTTCTATTGGATAGCATTGACTTGGAGAATTGTTTTGAGAGTCATTAAAATAATCTATATGAACTGTATTGTAAACCGCAATAGCTATATATATGTGTGTATATGTGTGTGTGTGTGTGTGTGTGTGTGTGTGTGTGTATATATGTATTTTTTTTTTTTTTTTTTTTTTTGTGACAGAGTCTCACTTTGTCACCCAGGCTGGAGTGCAGTGGTGTGATTTCAGCTCACTGCAACCTCCATCTGCCGGATTCAATTGATTCTCCTGCCTCAGTCTTCTGAGTAGCTGGGATTACAGGCATGCACCACCAAGCCCAGCTAATTTTTTAATTTTTAGTAGAGATGGAGTTTCACCATGTGGGTCAGGCTGGTATCGAACTCCTGACCTTTGATCCACCCACCTCGGCCTCCCAAAATGCTAGAATTAAAAAAAAAAAAAATGCTGGGATTACAGGCATGAGCCACCACACGTGACCTGCAATAGCTATATTTTTATTAATATGATAATTCGGCAAGCCTGATAGGCTTTTGAGGCATACAGAAATAAACATCACCTGAGACTTTTAAGCATCCAAGATGCTTTAGTTTACTTTTCTTAGAGGAAACAGTGAAAAGAAGAAATGTGGTTTAAAAATGGCCATAAAAAGGACACTAAACCTGATTAAGCTAGAGTATAGACCAAATTGCCACTTATTTTGAATTGTTTTTGCCAAAGGTATCACTTTGGATAAAGATAACTTTCATTTAGACATCTATCTTTATGTGTTCCTGCCATCATTTCAGTGAGAGGAAAGTTGAACAATGAAAAAGCTTAAGAAATGAACAATCATCATGCTTTTGTGTATGCTTAAAGTGAGTATATGTAAAAAATATCAAACAGAATGTAGACTGTGGTACTTGAGTATACCTAGGAGAGTAATTGCATTAATAACGTATTATGTAGTTTAATGGCTAAGAACAGTGGCATCTAGTTTTCTACCTATAGGGGAAGGAAGATCTATGAACCTCCACGGTATATGAGTGTAAACCAAGCAGCCCAGCAGCTTCTGGAGATTATTCAAAATCAAAGAATACGAGGAGAAGAACCAGGTACTCAAGACCCTAGAAGGGCTCTCATATTATTCCTCTGTTGCTGCATGTAGATGTGTATATGACTTAATATTGACTTATACCACTGTGGAAGCAAGAGTCAGTGTTTTCGTATTGTACTATTTCTTGTCATTTTTGTCCAACTTTAATCCCATAGGCTTCAAGTTGTACTGAAAGAAAAAAAAATTGGCATTCTTTTATAGTGTAATTAACACCGTTCCAGAATGTGAGGATTTTTCACAAACATCAGTCACATTTGATATAAATATATTAGAATATAAATATTTTTGTAAAATGTATCTATCATGTTATCCCTAATCAATGGTGAGATCTGTCCTGCAAAAATATACTTATCCTACTTTTATTTTGCCTCTTTTCATTCTTAACACTGAGACTAGGAATAGTTTTCTTCAGGGTAAATATGAGAAAATTTGTTATTATATTCCTAATATGTAGACACAGTGTGTGGTGTATAATAATAATGTTTATTGTCAGTAAATCTTTATGGGAGGTTCTCTCTTTTTTTTTTTTTTTTTTCGAGACAGGGTCTCACTTTGTCACCCAGGCTGGAGTGCAGAGGCGTGATCTCAGCTCACTGCAGCCTCCACCTCCTGGGCTCAAGTGATCCTCCCACCTTAGCTGGACTACAGGTGCATGCCACCATGCCTGGCTAATTTCTTTGTGTGTTTTTGGTAGAGACAGAGTTTCACCATATTGCCCAGGCTGTTCTCAAACTCCTTGGCTCAAGCAATCCTCCCACCTCGGCCTCCCAAAGCCTCCCAAAGTGTTGGGATTACAGGTGTGAACCACCGCGCCCGACCCACTGTGATTCTTTTTTTTTTTTTCTTGAGATGGGGTCTTGCTTTGTTGCCTAGGTTACAGTGCAGTGGTGCAATCATGGCTCACTGCAACCTCTGCCTCCCGGGCTCAAGTCGTCCTCCCACCTCAGCCACTTGAGTAGCCACTACAGCTGCATGCCACCACGCCTGGCTAATTTTTTTGTATTTTTAGTGGAGATGGGGTTTCACCATGTTGCCCAGCTGGTCTCGAACTCCTGAGCTCAAGTGATCCGCCCACCTCAGCCTCCCAACATGTTGGGATTACAAGTGTGAGTCACTGCGCCTGGTCAAGAGATTCTTGAGTGATTGTTGCTTATTTTATTCTCATTAGTAGGCCATGTTACAGTCGTGAAACAAATAGTCTGCAAGGCTGTTCTATATCCATAACTTTGTACAGAGGTTGCTTGCATTCCCGTTTGTCCTTGGATAAATCATTTGCCCCCTTTTGATCATTGTTCAATCAAGACCCCTTTCCCAACTAAACAATACAACCATTAAAGGGTCAGCTCTTTAGCAGTAGCACCAGGGTCAATAATACTAAAGCTCATTAAGGCTGGCTCTTTTGAACTTAAAGACATAAATCATGCCAAATGCTCATTATTTGTTAAGGAATCTATAATCTACTAGTCTCGTATCTACTATCTTAGCTCTCATTACCATGATTTAAAAGAGAGAGTATTACATTTTAAAAACAGAAAACTGAAGTTTATCACATTGGCAAGGGAGAAACTCAAATCTGTGAATTTATTTCATAATCTCATGGTTTCTTCAGTATAGCTAGGTCAATGTGAACATAAGTAAGTTATTAAAAACATAAGTGTGTAATAAACATTGTTTACTCAGAACTTATTTTAAAACAAATGCTATGCAGTTGTAGAGTATAAGTATAGCCTGTCAAGTCCTAAAAGCTTAATGTAAGTCTTTGGAACTCTGAAAAGGGTAAAGTTTGAAAGTACTCTTTTATAATATTAGGTAATACAAATGATTTAGAAAATCCCTTGGATGAATTAATGGATAACTGGTCCATAAGTGGCAAAAGAGATTTAAGATATTTGGGGCTTCTTGAAATGTACTTGTGGTACTGATGTTTGTTTGACTGTTGGACAGGATGATGCATTTGCTGAATTGAATGACAGTATCTTTTTTTTTTTTTTTAATAGCAATCACCGAGGAGACACTTTGTGTTGGCTTAGCCAGGGTTGGAGCAGACGACCAGAAAATTGCAGCAGGCACTTTACAGCAAATGTGTACGGTGGACTTGGGAGAACCATTGCATTCCTTGATCATCACAGGAGGCAGCATACATCCAATGGAGATGGAGATGCTAAATCTCTTTTCCATACCAGAAAATAGCTCAGAATCTCAAAGCATGGATGGACTTTGAACATAGATATTTACTATTGTCTGATTTAAATTTCAACCATATATGGATTGATATGGTTTGGCTGTATCCCTACCCAAGTCGCATCTTGAATTTTAATCCTCATAATCCCCAGGTGTTGTGGAAGGTAATTGAATCATGGGGGGTGGTTACCCCCATGCTAGTCTCATGATAGTGACTTCTCATGAGATCTGATGGTTTTGTAAGCGTCTGGCATTTCCCCTACTGGCTCTCATTCTCACTCTTGCCACTCTGTGAAGAGGTGCCTTTCACCATGATTGTAAGTTTCCTGAGGCCTTCCCAGCCACGTGGAACTGTGAGTCAGTTAAACCTCTTTTACAATTACCCAGTCTCGGGTGTTTCTTTAGCAGTGTGAGAATGGACTAATACATGGATGCATGCACATTTGTGTAACAAACAGGTCTTTTGGCTTATCTAGCAAGTATAAAACAAGCGACCAAAAAGAAGTTGACTCAACAATGCTTGGTTTCCTGTGGCAGTGAGTTTTTTCCCTATGATATCATCAGTTGTTGCTGCTATTTTGGCAACTTTTCAGGATGTACACACATAGAGCAGACCAGGCTGGAAAGCTTGTGGATAGATATCCACTGACAGAATCATTTAAGAGCAGTTTTTATTTATGAAACCAATTTATACAAGATGGTTGTTAACAGAATATAACTTAGAGGTAACTGGAATTTGAATCACTTGAATCTCAGTTTAAAGGGTAGAAGTTATGAGTGCCAAGAAAAGCAAATAAGAGATTAGTAAACATTCACAAAATATGTTTATAATTTTCTTCTTTTTAAAAAAGTTAGCTGTCCTGACTGCATGAGTTGTCCTGACAGCAGCTGGTATTACTGTATATAAACAAAGGTAGAAAGAGTACATTTCCATCCAGCAGTCTGACTTAAAGCTCAGCTGAGCACATGCCACAAAATGGCATTCTTCTCAGTTCACTGTCTTGGTTAGCTGACATCCTAATTATGTGGCTCATATTCTGCTGTATTTTGGAGGTCATGTAATTGTTTAATTATAAATGTTCAGCCAGTCTTGTACAGTTGCTGTTTGGTTTTAAATAGCATCTTTCACATCCAAGCAGACAAATGGAAAACTCGCTGACTACAAAATAAAATTTGTAAAAATGTAAGTTTGAAGGCAACAATGGATTAGTCAAGATATGCCATATCACTTAACTCAGTTAATACGCCATTGTATATGTGCGAGTAGTCACACATCTTACTAGTTTTAAATAACACTCCATTTATGACCACAGGTCATTCTATTTCATGACCAAAGAGTTTTATATTTTTTGTCAATTCTGAATAGAAATAGCTTTCTTAATATGCTAGTTCACTTGGTTCAACTCTAAGTATTTCCATGGCCTAACCAATTTTTCTGAGCCCTTAATAAATCCATTGGAAGTTGAACAAAGATTTCCCTACTCCCTGGGTTCATCAATTAGCTAAAGATTATTCGACTTATTTTACTTCGAGATAAAATATATTTACATATATATGTGAAACATCTCTTTTTTTCTTTCTTTGTGAGACAGAGTCTCATTCTGTAGCCCAGGCTGGAGTGCAGTGGTGCAATCTTGGCTCACTGCAACCTCTGTCTCCCAGGCTCAAGCGATTATCCTGCCTCAGCCTCCCGAGTAGCTGGGATTACAGTCATGCGGCACCATGCCTGGCTTTTTTTTTTTTTTTTCTATTTTTAGTAGAGATAGGGTTTCGCCATGTTGGCCAGGCTGGTCTTGAACTCCTGACCTCAAGTGATCCACCCGCCTCAGCCTTCCAAAGTGCTGGGATTACAGGCATGAGCCACCATGCCTGGTGTCATTTTCAATCTGTTAGACACAGAAGCGGAGAGAGCCAAGTACATTTAAATACCAGTTGTATATTATTTTGTTCTCATATGTTAAACTAAACATTTAAGAACTATAAAATGAAGAACTTCTGGTTTTAGTAATGGTGTTATAGCTTGTAATGTCCAAACCCTCCCAATTATAAACTGTGGACAAAATATAATAAACAATGGTCTAAAAACTCTAGGGAGTCACTGAAACCAGCTGTGAACTATATATGATTTTTTCCCCTTAGGTCATTCCCAGACTGTGTGGTAAGGCATGGCTAGAACTCAAGAGAAAGTTGCGGTCTTACTGGCTTGAGGTGTTAGGATGGAATTAAGGGCTGCTAGAAGGACTGAAAATTAAAGCAGCAGATCCTAGAAATGAAGGTGTCAGAAATGGAGGAGGCTTCCTGTCTGCATATGATCTCTCCTTGAATCCTTAGCTAACTCTCGAACCGTGCAGGCCCCAGGAAGACTCCATGGACCTTGGTGAAAAGCCACAGTTGGAAGGCTCAAGAAGCTGAACAGAGATGGCTGTTTTCTTTTGCAACAGAAGACAGAGTTTCAAGTTTGAATTCTGACAAGTTAGAAGGGCTTGATAGAACTTTGAGCTTCCCAAACCCCCAGAATGGCCATGTATTAATAAAGGCTGTGCACAAGACTAAAGATTTATGCTAAAACTAAGGATAAAACCTTTAACATAATGTAAAATCAAGGTGATTAGCCAATAATTTAAATGAGATCAAAGCTTAGCACTCTTCAGAGTATAATAAAATGAATCTGCATAACATATAAACAATGACCTGAATACAATAAAATGCTATAGGGTATCCAAAGAAATAAGGAAATACGGCTTACAGCTTATAGTTTTAAAAAAAGAGCAGATAATAGAAAAAAAAAAAAATCCTAACATAAACTAGGTGATAGTGGAATTAGCAGACAAGGTTATTTTTAAAGCAGTTTTTAGAACTATGTTCATGGAAGAAAAGGCAGTGTGATGCCGGGCGCGGTGGCTCAAGCCTGTAATCCCAGCACTTTGGGAGGCTGAGACGGGCAGATCACTAGGTCAGGAGATCGAGACCATCCTGGCTAACACGGTGAAACCCCGTCTCTACTAAAAAATACAAAAAAAAAAAACTAGCCGGGCGAGGTGGCAGGCGCCTGTGGTCCCAGCTACTCCGGAGGCTGAGGCAGGAGAATGGCGTAAACCCAGGAGGCAGAGCTTGCAGTGAGCTGAGATCCGGCCACTGCACTCCAGCCTGGGCGACAGAGCCAGACTCCGTCTCAAGAAAAACAAAAAAGAAAAGAAAAGGTAGTGTGGTTGTAATGAATGCATATAAGTATATATCTCACCCCAAAAGTGGAAACATTAAAAAAAAAAAAAGGTCGGGTTTAACTGGAGAATACAGATGATACATGAAAGAAATTGTCCAATCTGAGGAAGAGAGAAGAAAAGATTAGAAGGAAAACAGCACAGAGCCTCAATGCCATTTGGGGAAATATCAAGCAATTTAACTTACATAACTGGATTTCTAGAAGAATAGAAGGAAAATAGGGCAGAAGAAAATATAAGTAACTTACAGGCCAGAATTACCCCAAATTCTGTCAAACCCAAAAAGCTGTCAACTCAACAGATCCAATAAACTGAGTGAACCCCAAGTGAAATAAAATAAAGAAAATCATACCTAACACAACAGGTAAAACTGATAAAAACCAAGGATAAAAGAAAAAAGCTACCAAGGGTATTAGTAGGGAACCTACCAAATTTTTATCTGAGATGAAACGTAACTAGGTTCCTCTGTTTGCTAAATCTGGCAATCCTGTTCTGTATGTAACTTAATCTCAATTTAATGAAATTGTAAAATGAACACTGCATTACTCAGCAGGGAAAGGATGAACAGTAGTGAAATCCCAGTGTTAGTTGAAATACCTGAAGGCTGCATACATTTATTTATTTAATAGTGTTTAGCTCTTTAATACTATAAAGTTCTTTAAAATTATCATGTAGTGAAACCCCATTCCATAATCCAGATACAGAACAGTTTCATCACCCACAAGATCTCCCACTCTCCCTTTATATTCATTCCTCTAGTTCATTTCTCTTTATTGTTAAGTAGTGTTCTCCTATATGGATAGACTACAGTTTGTTTATCCATTTTTATCCATTCACTATTTGAGAGACAACTGGTTTGTTTCCACTTTCTAGCGATTATGTATAAAGTTGTTAAAACATTAACATAACAGGTTTTTGCCTGATATCCGGAGGGAATGCTGGATCACATGATTAAGTGTGCACCTAATTTTATAAGAAACTGCCAAAATGATTTCCAAAGTGCTTGTACATTTTGCATTCTCGCCAGCATTGTATTATCTTTGCCAGCACTTCATATTGGCAGTATTTTGAACTATCCCGATAGGTGTGTAGTGGTGTCTTTTTTTTTTTTTTTTTTTTTTGAGACAGAGTTTTGCTTTTGTTGCCCAGGCAGGAGTGCAATGGCATGATTTCGGCTCACCAGAACCTCTGCCTCCTGGGTTCAAGCTATTCTCATGCCTCAGCCTCCCAAGTAGCTGGGATTACAGGCACGTGCCACCACGCCCAGCTAATTTTGTATTTTTAGTAGAGACAGGGTTTCTCCGTGTTGGTCAGTCCGGTCCCGAACTCCCGACCTCAGGTGATTTGCCTGCCTCGGCCTCCCAAATTGCTGGGATTACAGGTGTGAGCCACTGTGCCCGGCCGCAGTGGTGTCTTTGTTGTGGTTTTAATTTGTATTTCCCAATTCCTAATGATGTGGATCATCTTTTCGTGTGCTTATTCACCATTCTTATATCCTATTTGATGAAGCATCTCTTCATGTCTTTTGCCTACTTTTAAATTGGATGGTTTCCATATGGTTAAATTTTGAGTGTTTGATACATATTCTGGATAAAAGCTTTTGTGAGATACATGACTTGCAAATATTTTCTCCCCATCTGTAGCTTGTCCTTTCATTCCCTTAACCATTTTTGATAAAGCAAACGTTTTAAATTTTGATTAAATCCAGTTTGTGTTTTCTTATATGGATTATGCTTCTGTTGCCATGTCTAAGATCCCATCACCAAATTCAACAGACTCAATATTTGTATGAAGTGAGTTTTAGATTCACACTCATTTTTTTTTTTTTTTTTTGTGGCATGTAGATGTTTAGTTACAACATCTTGATAAGAAGACTATTCTTCCATTGAATTGTTTCTGCACCATTGTAAAAATCATTAAGCCATATTTATGTAGGTCTCTTTCTGAACTCTTGCTGTTCTATTGATCTGTGTGTCTCTCCCTTCTGTGATACTATGCTGTCTTAATTACTTTAGCTTTATGGTAAATCTTAAAAACAGGTGGTGTGGTTCCTTTAACATTCTTTTTTCAAAGTAGTTTTAGCTATTCTAGTTCCTTTGCCTTTCCATATAAATGTTAGAATGAGCTTGTTGACATATACAAAAGAGCTTGTGAGATTTTGATTGGAATTGTTTGAGATGGTGTGGACATTTTGGGGTTTATTCTGTTTTGGGTTTGCCCAACTTCTTGACTCTAGGTGTACGTCACCAAACTTGGGAAGTTTACAGCCATTATTTCTTCAGATCTTCCTTCAGCACTATATACTTTATCCTGTCTTTGAGAAATTCCGATAAATATAAATGTTAGACATTTCTTACTGTCCCACGGGTTCCTGAGCTCTGTTCATTGTTGTTATTGCAGTCTGTTTTCTCTGTTGCCCAGAGCTGATAATTTTTATCTATCTATGAATTCACTGACTCTTTTCTGTCTTCTCCATTCTGCCGTTGAGTCCATTCTGTATGTTTTTAAAATTTTGGTTACTGTTCTAAAATTTCCATTTGGTTATTTTTGTATCTTCTGTTTTTTATTTTAACATTTGTTGCAAGATTATTTGTGATTTCTTTGTCACGTATTTT